TTAATTAAAATCTCTGTATATACTGCTATTAGAATATACCATATGTTATGGTTTTTAAATTTTATCAATGCACAACAATTTCTTCCGTAGTATTGCATGTATTCAGTAGCATTGCATTAGATTGACTGTATGAGATGTTTCTCATTAATAAGCTAACCCTGCATACCATATTTGTGACAGATTTGAAAAATAGAGGACTCGAATGTTTGACAATATTATCAAAACAGTTTATGAATAAAGTAGGTATGTAAGATAATGTCTTTTTTTATATACCATGATTAGGGTAAACCTAAATAAAATCTAGGTTTTAATTCATTTTTAACTGTTCATTTCAGCTCAATTCATTTAAAAAATACAGTACATATGAAATAGTAGCAAAATTGTTACGTGGTTAAATTATTTTCTATTTCAATTCTAGATGTAGATACAAACGTGCAAATTGTACGGGTGCATATTTTTATTCATTTTCGTTGCATCAGCACGGTACGGCTGCTACGTGATGCGAATTCAGATCTCTGTTATGATTAGCGGCCCCCTTAAACCGTCTACGGACAATACGATTTAGCAACCGATCTATCGTGTTGCGATCGAACGGTCTTTCCATACTTTTCACATTCAAATATAAATATTAGCATTACTGACCAATGGTACTAACGGGTGTTTCTTTGGAATGTTAGAAGTTGACTACCGACTTCCGAGTTAAAATCTTGGCCCAATTCAACTGGCTACTCACGTGTCATATTTTAGATCTAAGGGATCAAGCAACGATTGATTGGGCGAAATAATCGGACGTCAAATGGTATTTTGCATGGACGGTTTAAGACATGTATGTGTAGTTAACTGTATTTTTACTTAATTATTTATATTCTATTATCTGTGCCTGCGGTTTCACATAATAATATAAATATAAGTAATTATAAGTAACTTTCTTATGAAGTTACTTATAATTACATATAGATAGCCAAGTCAGACCTTAGGCTACAGTATATTATCCTAAGTTATAACAAGAAATTATATTTTATATTGTTATAAATACATTTCAGGACAGACCATTGAACTTGGCACCCATTTAGATCTCACCTCTTTTGTCGTAAAAGTCAACAATCAAGGCATATATCATAATATTAAACTCGGCTATCATTTCACATTTATGTTTTTGATGGGATTATGTTTATTTATAAAGTTTTAGTACAGAACCCTAAATATATATTCTTCCTTAACTAATAAATAGAATGTTTATATGAGAATATTTGAAGTAATCGATCATTGTTATCTATGTGAATGTTCGTTACGGTTATCCCAATCGAAATATTGTTTATCGGTTATTTGAAGTTCAGATGATTTATAAGCTCTGACTTTGACAGCCGCTAACAATATTATTGAACGCTGTTGTTATCGACCTTCCTACTTTGCTTTCGGAAAAGTAAACCACATTTTATACAAGCATTGAGTTTCTGAGCTCAGATCAGTTTAATATAGAACAAACGAAATATTACTGTGTATGTATTTAATAAATGGATAATTTATTAAAAAATATTAATTAAAATACAATTTCACAATTACAACGCTGTAACAAACCGTCACAGCACTTTTAGCAATTAAATGCCATGAATTCGAACCCTGTATAAAACATTATTGCTGTAGGTTTTTTAACAAATTCTGAATTTAAAAATATATTTAGGTATGTATATCAACTGATTCAAATATCTGTTTAGCAACTACATTACAGGTTTTGATTGATTTAATATTAAATAACATTATAGCAATATATCCGGGGTTATTTAAAGTACCAGGGTGTATTGTAACTGGTTTGTAATAGTTTTTACATTTTATTCTTTTCTTACATTTTAATTTTACTGAGATGTACTTTTTGTATTAATTTTTAAATGAATACAAAAAAGGTGAAATGAACGCAAAAAAATTAATACAGAACATACCCTTATGTTATAAACTGTGAAGCAACTGTTAGGTAGGCTATTTGCAAACTACATAGTACATCTTTGTATGTATGAGTACAACAATTTGTTTCTGGTATTGTTTCGTTGAAATATCGCCCGTATTTGGATGAAACAAATAAAACAATACTGAAAATATTGAATGAAAGAATAGTTAATATAGAAAAGTGTAGTGAAGTAAAGAAGTGGTAGCTATTATTTATAATATTAGTGCATCTGTTACAATTTATATGTAATATTAATAATATAATTATATGAAATAATTTTATTATTACATGAATAAGTAGTTCAGTTTAAGTTATATTATATTAGTGGATTATAGTTTATATAAAATGTAAATACTTCCGGCACAACTAATATCATTGTATTTCAGTAATGCATTTAATACCGTAAATTTCGACATCTTACTCAGTTCACCAAGTACTATTAGCTCATCTCCTACGACGATTATATGATAGTCAGGGCGTACCTTATAGAGTAGCATATTATCTCCTCTTCTTTTTGCATTATTTATCAGTTCTAATACACTTCTTCTTGGTTCATCCCAGCGTTTGCACATGCAGACGATCTACAAAATTTAAGCTGCTCTATATAATATTACTAATACTATTGAAGATAAAAACCTTGAATCATTTGTAGTTATGATTCATGTAAAATACATGGACATAATAAATGCTAAAAAACACAGTGTATAATTATTCAAATCCATATTTTATATCCAAATTAAATTTAAACTCTCACGCCCATCACCTTTAAAGGCCACGACATCCAATACAACATCCAGATAAAGATCTCGACAAGACTTTTATTTACACAAATAACTTCTATAAGTGTTCATTTTTTTTTCAACTTATGTTCATTTAAATTCTTACTACTTGTTATATAAACAGAATATTCAAAATCTCTGCAATGAGAGTGTGTATCATATAAGGTGTAAATTGGAAACAATAGTGATAAACGTCTAAATTAAATAGTGATAACAATGTTTGGGAAGTGTTTCAAGTCTTGTAATCTAATTAAAGGAAACTCCGTGTTGTGATAGGTTGTGTAAAGTTTAAATCACAAGTTCATAATGAATTTAGATGAAATAATAGTTTTACATTAAGTAAACTTAGGTAAACATCTTTAGGTTCTTTGATGAGAGCAATGAGAACATACGGCAAGGGGGCGTCGACAGCTTGGGACAGGCGTTGACAGACGGTTTACCGCCAACATGCCATTTATTCTTCCACCTTTAAATTTTTAATAAGACATACCATACTAGGTAAGATTTAGTAATATATTTTAACAGATCTTTATTGTAATTCATAATATTTTCGAAGTATACGTTATATAATGTCATCTGCATCAATCTCTTGCTTTATAATATGTGTTTCAATTGAAGGGTGTCAGGCCAACGAAAGGAATTACATCGTAGTCCTCTAGATACAATAACCATAACCGTCACATAATGTAAAATCCGTATTTTGTTCATGTACCTATAAGACTGTAAGCGATGGTTACTACTTACAATCGCCTAAGTGTGTCGTCGCCTTGTTTGCAATTGCATAAAAATAAGATACACAAAGAGAATATTAGAATTACAAAACTGTATACTTCTCTGAAACTTGGATATATTTGTACAACAGAATATCATGGTAAAACGATCTTTTTTTTTTTTTCTCCTCCATTCCTTAATCTAATCTTTAAGTCCTTCATCGTTCACAATGGAAAATTTCGATAAAATGTAAGTGCCGTAGAAGCTGTTACCTGCGTAAGTGAATCATTCAAAATTCATCCATTAAAAATAAACAATCTACAATAGGCTACGAGTACAGGCAGAAATACAGTTGAAGGTATGTTCAGAAATTTGGAATTCTCTATCCGATGAATCTTGCCCTTAAGCGAGTTTGAAACAGAATAAAGATGTTTCAATAGGTACAAATAACTTTACGAGTAAAACTTATTTGTTAGGAAATTAATATAAACGCGTGAATAGAAAGCAGCCTCGTTTAAAGTTTCCCTTTTCTCTTCAGAAACATCTGAAAGTTGTCTAATTTTATGAGAAAACAAACTAATCCAATACACAAGATTTACTCAAGTTGTATTTTGTTAATCTCTTCATTAATTTAAATTCATATATTTGTTTTATGTATTTTCGTGAAATGTTTGTTCCTAAGTATTAATTATAAAAAAAATCGAGTATTAGTATTATTATCCTATATGTATAAATAAATGCATATATGATGACATTGTAATAAGGATTGTAATATGTATGATTTTGGTCTGACAAAGTCTACCATGGTTAAATGAATATTAGATTTTACTTATATATATATTTTTTTTTTATATCATAATTTGAGCGCGTTTGACCGCAATCTCACCTGATGTTAAGTGATGATGTGGTCTAAGCTGTTACACGCAAGCTGAAATAATACCTATTCACTCTTGACTTAAAAGACCCAATATTGTAAGAGGCAGGAAAAATAGACGCTGGTAGAGAGTTCCACTCCTTAGCTGCTCGCATAAGGAAAGATGATGCAAAACGGTTAGTTCGAGCAGCTGGGATGTCAATAGTGTAGGGGTGGAGCCGCTCTCTACGTCTTGTTGTACGTTGATGGAACGGTGCTGGAGGAATGAGGTTGTGCAGTTCTTGAGCACATTCGCTATATATATATTATTATATATTATAATGATTAGAAATAATAAATATTATATATATATTATAATGATTAGAAATAATATTATAATGATTAGAAAGGTGAGTCTATATGTAACATTATGTGGTGCTGTCGATATCTATACTTTTATGTAACTAAACTAACGACAACTAGTAACCATGTCCTGGGTATTCGTATACGAACAGCATCACCGTCTCACGTCATCATATTACGTCCGCTGTACCATTCATGCGTTGTTATTCCAGACGATATTTGTACAAATCCTATATCGCAGTCCATGCGCGCGCACTCTGCGTTACGGACGCATTACCCGTTAAATTTGATCTGCATTTAATATTATAACTCCTGAATATTGTGTATTAAGATAGTTATTATAATGAATCAGTGTAAAAAGTGCAAATTGTTCGTATCAATGAGCAAGGATGACATTTTATCATGTAAAGGGTTGTGTGGAACAGTTTACCATAAAAAATGTGCTAATAAACAGTATAAACAAACAGGATTATGTGAAGTGTGTCAAAGAAGTGAAAGTAGCCCAAAGTTTTCAACACCGAAGCTCAATGTTGATTTGCAGAAGACTAGCGCAGAGACCTTGTTGTCAGAAGTCAATAAAAAACTGGAAGTGTTATACGACATGCAGAAAAAGATAGAAGACCTAACGGAAAGTGTAGAATTTTACGCTGACCAGTACCAAAAAATGCAGGAGTTTAAGGAAACTGCTGAGAAAAAGATTAATGCATTAGAAAACAAGAATATATATCTAGAGAAGGTTAATGAAGCATTAGAGGAAAGAGTATTATTGTTAGAAGAAAAACAGGTTGAGAGAAATATTGAGATTGTTGGTGTCGAGGATATGGAAAAAGAAGACACAAAAAAGGTAATAAAAGTAATAGCCCAAAAACTAAATTTAAATTCTAATACAATAGAAGAGGTCAAGAGGGTAGGCCGACATAAGCAAAATGAGGGTCGTCCGAGGCCGATTATTGTGACTTTTTGTTCTAAAATAGCTAAAAACGAATGGATAAAGAAACGAAAAACTTGTTTGTTAAATAATGATGTTTTCGCAAATAATAGTGAAAAACGTATTTACATAAACGACAACTTAACTAAAAAGACACGTCAATTATTCTGGAATGCAAAAACATTACTTAAAGGCACATACAAGTTTGTCTGGATACAACATTCAAAAATATTAATTAAAAGAAATGAAAATTCTAAAATTTACAATGTACGGTCAGATGCCGACATAAACACCTTTTTACGTTCTGAATAACAGCCATAATGGACTGTGTATGATCATACTACGTGTTTTCTTTTTCTATAACATTCAACGATTTGCTTATAAATATTGATAATAATATAGACTACCAGAGATATGAAAAAATAGATAAATGGGCTTCATCACTAAAAAATACAACTAAACATTTCAAAATAGTTCACTTGAATATAAGATCGTTGCGAAAGAATTATAACGAACTACTTCTAATGTTGGAACAATGTGAATATACTGTAGATATTATTTTATTGACAGAGATAAATATCAAACAATGTGAACTATCATTATATGAAATAGATGGATATAATACTCATGCTTATACGAGAGACATACAACGTGGAGGAGGAGTATTGATCTACTACAAAGATTATTTACATATTAATATTAATAGAATAAAAAGTAATTCGGCAGAGATTTTGCATAGTACTATAAATATAAATGCCATGAATATAAATATTATTGCTGTATATAGGCCACCAAAATCCAATAGATTGGTTTTTATTAATGAATTAAATATTCTCATAAAGCAAATACCTGAAAACCAAGATATCATCATAGTTGGAGATATGAATATAAACTTAATGGAAAATAGCTTAATTGGAGAGAAATATAAAAACATGTTGTGTGACAGCGGCCTACAAAGTGCTATCAACGAGTGCACGCGGGAAGAAATAGTGGGGGGCCGGCTTGTGTCGTCTTGTATTGACCATGTATGGGTGCGCAGCAGACATCGCATCGCCGCACACATGCTCACGTGTAAAATATCAGATCATTATATGATCGGTGTGAACTTAGAGACTGGCATTGGTTGTAGTGAACCGTGCAATAATAAACAGGTATATGTAATCAATAATGAATTAGTCAAGCAAAAATTATTAAATATTCAATGGGATAAGTTAGTAGAACTGAATTGTCCGTTACAAATTTATGAGCAGTTATATATTCTTTTCAATAATGTATATGAGGGTTCAAAAGTGTTAAAAATTAATAAGAATACAAGAAGGTCACAGCCCTGGATAGACAATAAATTATTTATTATGGTCAAACGTAGGGACGAGTTATTTAGAAGGTCAAAGTCTAATATTAAAAACATTAATTATAGATTGGAATATACTCGTTGTAGAAATTTAACTAATAAACTTATAAATAGGGCTAAGAACATGTATCGGAAAAAGGAATTAGAAAATTGTGAAGGTGATTTAAGAAAAACATGGGCAACCATTAACAGCTGGCTGGGTAACAAGAAATCTAATTTAGATTCGATGATAATGAAATATATGTGTAAGGGGGTTACTGTTGAAAATATTTGTACAAATTTTGGAAAAACATTTACTAAAGAAATAGATAATATTAAACATAAATGTAATCAAAAGTTTTTATTACGTGAAAGCTATGTACAACATGCAAATGTGAGCTTTTACTTTCAGAAAGTTACACCAGTCCATATTGAAAAAATTATAAGTAAATTAAATTCTAGAAAGTCTCCAGGAGCAGATGGAATTAGAGTAATAGATTTAAAGTATATTAAAAAATTAATTAGTCCAGTTCTGGCCAAATTTATAAATGTAAGTTTACAGACAGGCACGTACCCAGATTTACTGAAAAAATCCATTATACGTCCATTATTTAAGCAAGGAAGTCATGCAGAATATAGTAATTATAGACCTATTGCAATTTTGTCGACTATAAATAAAATAGTAGAAAAAATATTTGTGACAAGGATTAGTGATTTTTTAGAAGGTAATAATATATTAACAGATACACAGCATGGGTTTAGAAAATCATATAGTACAGCTACAGCTATTGGCAAATTTAGTGATCAAATAAATAGTCACCTAGATAATAGGAAATATGTAGGAGTCCTCTTTATAGATTTCAAAAAGGCATTTGATACCCTGGACCACGGACAGCTACTGGAGGCAATGAGAGAATGTGGAATCCGTGGTCCAGTAAACGAATGGTTCCGAAATTATTTAGATAACAGAAAACTGTTCACTGTAATTAATGCTACAGCCGGTCAGGAATTTTATATGAAAAGTGGTGTGCCTACTGGTTCGGTATACGGGCCTGTTGGTTATACCATGCACGTAAATAGTATGATTAACGTAATAAATTATTGTACGACATATATGTACGCAGACGATACGTGTTTGATATATGCAGATAGAGATATCGAAAGTATTGAAAAATGTATACAGTCCGACCTGGAAAATATTTTGATGTGGTCCCATGACAATGGTATATTATTGAATGTATCTAAAACTAAATGTATGCTTGTACATTCTCCATATATGAAAGATATTAACAAGTCAATTAGAATAGTCGGCCACTCGTATCAATGTCTTCACAATAGTAAAATACAATGTAATTGTGAACATATCGAGATGGTGAATGAATATAAATATTTAGGGATCACAATAGACTGTAGTTTTAGCTGGAAAATACATATAAACAATATATGTAATAAATTAAGATATGTTTTGTGTAAGTTCATCCAGCTTAAATATGTAGTTAGTAGGTCGATATTGTTTTCCTTTTATTGGGCATTGGCAGACGCGGTATTAAGTTATGGTCTGGCGGCGTATGGTTGTACCTTTCGTACCTATCTTGATAAATTGTATAACATACAAATACGTTTTTTGAAACACTTAGTAGATACGGAATTTAAAAAGAAATGTAAAGGAAACTACAATTTGTTATTCACAAAATGTAATATTCTCCCTATACATGAAAAAGTTACTTTACTATTGGCATTAGAACAATATCAATGCAATAAGTATAAGGTTAAAAAAACAACTGAGTATAGTATGAGACATACAACTATAAATAAGTATATTGAACCGGTGGTATGCAACTATTATGGTGAGAGAACAAGAAGGTACATTACTCCACGAATATTTAATAAAATTTATAATGAAAACGATTGTTCAAGTAAAGAAATATTTAAATTTAAATTGAAAAGATGGTTACTCGAAAAAGTGCATTAGTATAAGTTCTATATTATAGTTAAATTGTAAATTAGATATAAGTAAAAATGAGTGTCCTTATTCGCCAACAAACTGCAAAGCAGTTTGGCGATAATTGTAAAAACAAATTGTGTATATGTAATACTTATAAATAAATAAAAAAAAAAAAAAAAAAAAAAGATATACATATACCCGACTGTTGCCACTTTATATCAAGTATTTTATCACCTTCTTGATCGTTATTAAAAAAGCAGGCTACATGGTTTACAATAAACATTATCGGGAGGGACATGCATAATCTCAAAACTGATGGGCATTTAAGATGATGATCAGTAGATATTAGTAACTATATTCACATGATTGCACTTATGCGACTACGTAAGTCACTATTTACTTGCATTCCTTCCATTAATCATAGATCTTGCCTCAGGTTTCACTTCATTAACTCATGATAAATTGACAAATGTGGCCAATCTATTCATGATTTATGTACCTACTAATGGCTGAGAGAAAGCGATACTGGCGTTCAACATATCAACTGTAATGGTCTATAACACTATAACGTGATTGTGTTCTGTCAAATGATGGTAAATTGATAAATCCGTGTATCCTTGCTGTTCAAATTCTTCCATGATGTAAACATGCTGATCATAACAAACCTCTTATCCGATATCTAGCCATTACTTAATATGATTCCTGCCCAATGCCTTTCATGATCTGCAATCATCATACATTCTATATGTCTGAAATAAAAATAATTTTTCAAACAGACACAATAATTTCGGATATTAACCTCCATATACACACAACCTCAGAATTTTTAAGCTTTAACTTTGGAATTTTTCAAACATACAAGTAGATATATATTTATGAACTTTTAGAGTTATTGTTAGATAAATTAAGGTTGAGTCAATAATTACTAGTCACATATATCAACTATTCAAAAATGTTTCACTATTATCACGATATTCTAATTACAATATTATATTATATTATTTTAATTTTACATAATTGATATAATGAAATAGAGTATTTAGTAATGAATATATATTAGATTTAATGATACAGGGTAAATGAGCAAATAGCAAGAACTGATTGCAAACGAATCTTTGCTAGTAAACGTAAAATTGCCGCGGTAGATAGGTACACTAAAACCAACATCAGAGGAAACCGATATCAATTTATCTGTAAAGAAACCGCATCGTTAGCGGAAACTTTGTTGAATCTCCTATTCCTTTGCCATTTTAACAGCTTCTAAATTACTCGTATATATTATAACATCTCTTTTAATTTTTCTTGACTACAGAGTCATATAAATATTATTATATAACATACAATAGTAATAATAAATAGCCAAGGATACACGATATACGAGTACGTGAAGAATCCCAAAACAATACAAACAGATATGTGACATACATATGTGTATGTAATTACTAAATCAAAACAAACAAGCGAATACTAGTCTATAATATAAGCTAACTAACTTCAATTACTATGTACTGCTCCTTTTTAATGCTGTAAGCATGTGGTCGTACAAATAAAGCATTATATAAATGACAATAGTTAATTCATAGATATCATCTACATTATACGCAAGTATTGCTTTTATAAACACCATTCGATGTACGAATAAAATCATAGATACGCAAACCCTTGTCTTATTTTATAAAAAGCTGCGTAAGCTTACCAGCAACGTTTAAATGAAAATGAAATAACCCGATTATAAGTCAACCAGAAAATGTAAACAAACGGATGATAAAAACAAAACAAAAAAGCGTAGGTACAGCAAAAACGTTTAGGAGCTTCAATAATAAAAGAAAATCCGGCGTTTGGTTTCAAATTAGCTAATCTCGACGTCAATTTTAAACAATTCATCTTGAATAGGGCCGCGGAGTGGCGCGTCGGTTTCAGAAGTCATTTTTCAGCCGCTATGACGTAATCGCTTATGAACTCTTAGCGTTTTATTTGAAAAGTGGAGAAAATTTCATATTCAACGTTTTATAAGCTCCGGAGTTATCCAGATATACGGACTGCACGTATCAAATTTCACCATAAAATATTTTAATGAAGTACGCTCTAAATATACAGCCGAGAGGTTCAGTAATTGTAGTATCATATTATAATTTATACTATAATATGATATTAGTTGAATATAATAATTGTTACCGTATATTCTATGCAGTAACATAATATATTTCCATAGCAGAACTATCAAAGTTATTGAAATAGACAAAAAATATTTTGAAATATGTTCGATGAAGATTCTTACTGTTTTGTTTTGTTTTGAATTGTATTTTAGTAGTCTTTATAAAAAGTTGTCTGCGTGAATACCTCAGTCTCACCTATTTCAGGTTGCACTATGAAATATATTTCGGTCGAAGAATTAGACAAGACAGTAAAATTACATGACAAGCATAACCTCTTACTATGCCGAAATGGTAATGCATGAGTAGTCACGGGTGCCACATGATAACGTGATATCCAATAGTGCTGTTCATGTCGGCTTCTTTACCACTCCAATTACATAAAACATGTGCATAAATGTTAAAAGCATATATATATATATATATATATATAGTTGTAATATAATATTTGACACTTAATTATTTTTATAGATTTGATGTCTATCTTATATTTTTAAAGAAAAACCTGATAATCGGCTTACGGGTGTCCTCTAATCTCTTTGGTAAAGTCACACCAATATAATCCAGATGCCGGAGGGTCAGTTCACCAAAAACTTTGTCATAATGTCTTATCTAATTTAGGGAACAAAAGGATTAATTAAATTTCAAACTCAGTTAATTAAATACCTCGTACATTATTAAATAAACCGAAGATACAAAATTTTGAAGTGAATCTAAGTTAATTAGGTTACTGCTCGTCAATATATGAACTTTTGATTTAATAATTTCAAACTAGTGAGACTTAAATATTAGTATCATAAAACATTATATTATTTTAATTCGATTTCTCGGAGAAGGGGCTTCTCAATCAAACTTTTTTTGTTAATGCTAGACTAGATGCGACGTGATCCAGTGACGAAGAATTCATATTGTTCAATTGTGCATGACTTCATGGTGACTTACCGCCAATTTACCACCTCTTGGTTTAAGTCTAACGCAGTTGTTGCTGAGACGCAGATATCAAAAATCTTTGTGTTATTTTATAAATCCAACTAATGCAACGGTAATAAAAACATCAATAAAAGAACTAACTCATCCCGTGGCAGCAAATATATATCACTCAAATATACCCAATAAAATACAAACAGTTCAAACGTATATATGTAATGTAAATTACGAAATGCACGTGTTTAAATTTTACCAATCTGTAGCAGTAAAACTGGAAACTTTATTTTAAAAATATTCCGTTACATCTTGACAGGTAGGTAATTAATTACGTACCTTCGGTATACTGTTTAAAAAGACCGTTCGCTAAGTACAGGTGCTTAATTAATTTAATCAACGTACTGAAACTTAAGATCGTCTCTCCTAAGTCTTCAATCGATTGTCTTAGTCGATGTTTGGGCTTTCGGTTTTAATTACACATTTTATTAAACTTTGTTCTACGTCGACTTGGATTTTAAAAATAAACTCCGTGGACGTGTCAAATTATTCAATTTATGTTTTAATGCAAATGTCTCGATAAGTACTTCTACATACATATACAAAAAGTAGGTATCACAAATAAACATTATTTTTTCTTCTACGACTATTTTTATTCTGTCGTATCAATGGCCTACTTTAAACAGTACCGACCAACATATTAGTATTGTACGTAACGGAAATTGATATTTGAAAAAAATATTATAATTTTTTTTTCAAAAATCATATTTCGTATTATATTTATTTGTGATACCTACGTTTTGTATATGTATGTAGAAGTACTATCGAGACATTTGCGTCGTCAGCTAGTACTATGCTTTCTAGATTACACTACACTTTAATAAATCGCATTGCTATTTCTTTGAAACCTAAGTATTAAAATTTTTAAATAATAATAATAATACTTTTAAAATCATAAGGTTTTGTGACGAAATTAAGCAAATAAGTAACTACCTATATTCAGCAAGAGTTTAAGAGAATACTTACTCGTAATATTTATGTCTAAAGTTATGTGATCCATAATTAATTTTCACACTTAATCTACATAAGTATATTATAAAACCCGACAGAAGTTAGAACCGGGAACTGCCCATTTAATTAGAACCCGATGGAGTTTCAATATTGACTTTGAGTTTTGAAGAGATCACTAAAAGTTATGTTTGACTTATACAGTGTTTCGTAATTTCAATCTCGACGGCATTAAGCCTTTGAGTATTATTTAATTTATGGGTTCATTCATAGCTAATATACTTATACTGACCGTTAGGCAGTATACTTTTGTTTTAAAACATACTCAGAATTACATAACTTGCAATTATTTAATAATTTTTTTTAATGGTTTAAATATGGCAACTTTAGTTTATACATACACAAAACTACGTACATCATCTTATCATACATATAACGTTCGTGCCAACACTTAAGAGTTATAATTCTCATCTCAGTCTTCAATCGAAACATATGTTACAAAACAAGCTGAAATTTTTGAAATCTACCGCGGTAAAATATATGTACCTACTATTTGTAGTAAAAGTTAATGTAGTGATACGTTTAAAATTCGTACAAAAAAAGATTCCTGCCTACCTATGGCCAATCTAGAGAGTCCTCACTCTTTTCAAAATACCCGAATTCGAATGTGTCATTGCATCATTAAAAGGATGTACGGTAATGGAAATACACTGTAATATAAGTAAATGTATTTTCTCATTGCCAAATTTGTGAGGGTACATACTTACCAATTGTTTCGAACCTCGTAAACTAGTATTTAATATGAAATGATGCAAAAGTTGTTGCATATTTACTACGACAAGAACATCTCAATAATACATTATATCAATGCCTTTAACTATTTTAAAACAATTTTAATAGGTTAAGTAAGATTTTGCTAATTGAATAGTTAAGGTACTACTGCCTCCTTTTCTGTTTCCTGTTCTATTTACATGAACACAATATATTAAAAGACTAAATATATGAAAATAATTATGGTTTAATGTATTACTTATATATCCTAGGCTAGGGCCTAAATATGGTAGGCCATCAAATATAATATTATACATATTAATCTTTATTATATCATAATTAACGATTACAACACACGACCAATTAACCAACCGATGAATTAAGAAATGGAAAGTTTCCATTCTTTCTTAATTTATTTATCTAATCGACATGCATAGAATTGTAGTTGGAAAGTATTTATTGAAAAAAAAAATATTAAAAAATAGGATAAAATGGAACATCTCTGCGATATACTCGTACATAAAAGCAAATGATAATAGAATAGATAACTTAGGCGCTACAAAATCTACATATGTATATATTATCAGTAATAATATGTACCCTACATTCTAAGAAGTCGCGTGGAACCTACTTGGTTCCACGTGACTGCAGACAGCACTCATTATTCATTATTCAAAAACATTCATTAATTAATTCTTATATACAATAATAAATTCGGAGCATCCTTCGTGCAAAAACAGTTCAAATTTTCAATTATACATTTCTTTTCTAAATTGACGTGGCCATGCCATTTTGATAGTTAGGATTGCATTGAAGGCGTTCAAAGTAATACTAGCTATCAAAATGGCTTGCTTTGCTCTAATAAAGCAGTGTGTGATAGAACCTGCTTACTAAATAATCGTGTAAGATATATCAACTCCATATACTAGTAATAGTATGTATTATAATAAAATAACAAATATATAACATTAATTTAACTATGTCTCTAACACAATTCACTTTAGCAATTAAAATACAACCAGCACATCCTGTGCTCAAAGACCGAATGCCGCGGCTTACAAAAACCCTCCCTTTTATACAGAGAAGATATGAGTGGGGTTATATGCAACTAGTTTAACGTTACCGAGTAATAATGAAACTACCTTCTTTTAATACAAAATATCAGATTTTTCGACAATATCGATGTGAACCCTAACAATCGGAATACCTCTAAATTGTTGTCATTGTCAAGAAGAGCTGAAGGAATAAATTGCTATGCCCTCGTACCCTGTAATTTCATTGACATATCTTACCGATCAAACCAGAAGACGGCTGTCGACAGAATTAGATCAGACAAATACACCCACGAAAACGACTTTGTACAAAGTTCCTACTAACATGTTTGGATATAAAATTGAAACATCACTTTCATCATCGAAATTTACGCCCACTCAAACATATACAATTATTTTATACTATTAAATGGATGATGAAAGCCTCGGCAAAGTATACTTATTTATATAAATTTCACAAGACTTATTTTTACTATATCAATTTACTTGAACAAGCCTATGAAAATGTCTTATGTGTAATATGTGCATATATTTTGTTTCAAGAATGTGGAATGCTGCACCCCTACCTGTATACGACGGCGGGGCTCCAGAGGAAGATGGTAAGTCGAGCATGAAGTCGGGTCAGGAATCTAGCAATACATGCATTACTAGCTGATTACTTATAATAGTACTCAAGAATTACAACGTGTGAAATATATAACAAGTACGTCACAACATATTAGGAAAATATATTGTCTATGTGTTGTTATACGTTTAAGTAACGTCACGGGAGTCAACTTGATAAAGTTTCTGATGCTCTAGTAGTCGGAGGAAGTGGACAAGTGTGGGTACTTTATTCTTTTATTTTACGTCCTCGGTGGTATAGCGGTTTAGTACACCGTTCTACTTCCGATGGTCACGGGTTCGATTCCTCGCACGGCACAAACATTTGATGAGATGAGTATGATTATTTGTGTTGTTCTGGGTGTTTTCTATGTATATGTATTTACGAAAAATATATATTTATGTATTTGTATCAGTTATCAGTACCCTTAACACGAGCTTTAGTTAGCTTAACTTGGGTCCTGAAATTATTATTATTATTCTACATAAAAAACTGACTACATTTCCATAAAAATGCAGGTATATGCACAATAATTATAACGGTTTCAGTATAAATTCGGCGGTTTTAAAAAGTAAAATTATAAGTAACGGCGTATAAATTCCTTCCATGCGATTTAACAGCGAACGAAACTGAATGTTAAATAAGTTATCAATACAAAAGTAACCAGAAGTCTGTACCATATCAAAAAAAATGCATCAGAGACAAAAGTAGATAATAATGAATTTATTGAATGCGTCATTTTAGGAGGAGACTTCATTAGTAGAATTTTATTATTTAATGACTATAATCATAACGATATTCTAATGAATTCAGTCATTATTATGATGCATATGTATTTGTTCGGATTGATTATAGATTTATTATAGTTACAATTCTTACCAATTTCCTCACTAACATTGTATTGCCATTGTTGATATATGATTATATTGACATGCTTCTATTTTCAATTAAATTATACACCATAACACCTATACTACTTAATACACATAGTAGTTAAGTCACAGTGATTAACTAAATACTACTCTCTGGTGAAGGAAACACAGTTAACAAACACAAAAAATAATCAACTGAATACGACATACAGCGGTAGGCTCGACTCTTGTCACGTTTTATCCAAATACCTAACGAAATGTGGGCATGTCAAGTGTTAATTTAACAAATTTACCATATATGATACCCCTCAAAGATCTGGGATAAAAGTCGTGACTATATTTCGAAGTGTTTTTTTATATTGTATATATTAAAAAAAATACCAAAATGCAAGTTTCTAGTCGTATTTATATATATAACATCCCGCAAGAATCTCGTAGATAGATATCTACTTATTAATTATAAATCGAATGTTCGACTATCTTTTTATACATATATTTTGTATTCATTTTTATATATCATGTCACACAAATATAATACTTAAAAATATCAGTTTTCCTTATTTATAAGTAACCCAGTGTAAAATAAATGTTTACAGAACTATGTATTTAAAAATATGGACAAAAAATATTTCTAGGAATAAATAAAATACACAAGTAAACACCTACCCAGAACACTCTGGGTTATTTTTAATTAAGTGTGTGGTTATCACTTTGCTATTTTTTTTGCACCATATCGTTATGATTGATTATTTTCAATGGTTCTTCATCTTATATTAAAATAAGCGGGAAACTCACAATAACCTTTAATACTGTTTTTAAAGTGAAAGCAATGAATATAAGTTTACTTACCATCATTCCATAGTATAAAATAAAGTCGCTGTCACTGTCTGTCCGTACCTATATAGGCTTAAATTTTTAAAACGGATTTGAAGCGATTTTTTTCAATAAATAGAGTAATTCAAAAGGATAGTTTATATGATACAAGTACACCCGGACGACACCAGGGTGAGTAGCTAGTACGATAATATTTCATAAAAAAAAAACCAGGCTTGTTTGTATAAAAATATATTTTGTTAATTTGTTTACATGTTCATTCCTGCCTCATCTTTAAACAATTGCTATTCTACCTTACCAAAAAGAGCCCTCACTTTAAATCTTCTACATTGATTATAATGTTGTCTTACTTAGGGGTCTGTTAAAATAAGTATTTGTAAAAAATATATGATTTTCATGTTTTTTGTTAAGTACCTATGTAATCTTATATCATTCACTAACCAGATTCACTTTTTGTTGCATTGCCAAATTGCGTCAAGATAAAAATATAGGTATAAATGTTTTTGTTAAATATATCATACTAATATTTTAATATTAATGGTATTTTTATATAGTTAACAGTAAAATAGTAAATATGGATGTTTTAAAGTTAAAGTTACCGATAACACAATATGTCTATAACCTAAAAATTAGACATACACACTTAATTTTAAGAACTTTTAAACTAAAACCCATAACAATTTCCGTCATAATTATACCATAGAGGTATCGAGAATTCCCGCCCGCAATCATTGTTTGAAACTTTCTGTAGTTCTTAAACACCATGTTGTTTTATATACTTAATCGATAGTTATTTCTATATCTATTACATTATCCATAATAATCTAACTAGATTAACTATATCTATAATATAATAACATTTAGAAGATTACATTTTATACATGTTTTAAAGAATTTTGTATAAGCAAATATCAAAGCAAGTGTTATTACCTAAATGTCAAAAATTAATTCGAAATGTGTTGCGACAAGCATTTTGATAAATATAACAAATCATCCAAACATTGTATATACTATATATACCAGCTACCTTGTTTTTATGTGAAGCTTGGCGTGCGGAACTTGACCATGAGTTATATAGGTAGATAATTTTGGATGACACTAAGGATTATATTCAGCAATATATACCGCTATAAATATAACTTGATTAATTAAATTACATACGCATGACGTTTTCATTCAATACCATTAAGCAAAATAATAATAATAATTCACACAGCGCCAACAAGACCTAAGTTAAGGTCTAAAGCTTGTGTTATGGATACTAGATGACTGGTACAAAAAAATAGATATATCTATATTTTATTCGTCAATACATACATATTATACACTGAAAACACGCAGACCAATACAAACAAATATACTGAATATAATACATGAATACAAATGTTTGTGCCATAGAGGAATCGACCCTAGACCACCAAAGACCTACTGCCGCGCCCGACCATCTGCGACAAGTGTTTCTAGTGTTCCTTGCGTGGTTTAACAGAATTAATCGGAACAGCAGACAAACATCCATCAAGGGAGGCAGGTAGATTGTATGGAGTCTTAGATGTCACACGGTATTCTTCAAAGAATCAGGGCGTGCCGAAATCATAGGGCACGTTAACATTCTACCATGATTTTAGAATAGGATCTTTTAAATTTTGGAGTGATACCTAAAGAAAAAGAAAACCTAGTGAAATGTATCTTTATTTATAACTTTTTATATTATGATCCGAGATTTGACAATGTAGTAGGCATCATAAATAGGACTGTATGTATTGAATAGAATGACGAGTATGACAATATTATCATAGGTAGATGTTACCTATTATATTTAAATAAGACAAGACAGGCAAAGTACTTATATACAACAACAAGGAAACAAACTGGCAGTATAGATCCGGCGATCAGCGAGTGACCACATCCAACATGAAAGTCTTAATTTGTAGTAAGTTTATTTATTTTATTTTTATTGATACAATGCTTCATTAAATATGATTGTATTGTGAGTATAAATAACATTAACAATTAATTTATTTAAAGCAATTTGTATAATGCAAATTAAGTTGTTTTGTTCTTGTTTTACCTCCAGATTACTAAAATGTTTATTTCAAATTCTGAGTTGATCATTCATTTTAATAGCCATTGTTATTATAATAATCATAATTATATACAATAATAATATCTATTAAAAGAATCAAAACTTTTTAACCGCGTTCAAAAAGAAGTAGAATAATTCGATTGTATATTTTTGTGTTTATGTTACGTTTGTTAAAAACTGTTTATTGCTATTCTAATTACAATTAATATCTTCATATCTATATATTAATTGTAATTAGATGTATGTCATTTCAATCAAATTACATACAAAGTACATACAATGCTCAAACGATGAATGAAACGAAACCATTTTTAGTGAATTATACGCCTACTTGAGCGAAATAAAAAATCCAAAATCAACACATCGTTGTGCCGGTACATAATTATATTTGAATTATTTGCCTCAGAACTTTGTCTTGTTCAACAGTGAGAAGATGAAGGTAAACATTTATGCATTCGTAAAAGCCACTTTACGGTCCTTTGTTGACCATGTTAGCAACAGAATGACGTATAAACTCATTGTTAGCAAATAAATTCAGAAAATATTGGGATTCCCTGATGGCTCAACTGATATCGAATATTTTCCGCATACTTATTCTTCATGTCCTATGCAATCAGTAAACAATACGATCAATACAATATCTTGCAACAAGCAAATTATAAAATCGTGACCGGTTTAATGTAGTCAATCTTTACCATAAGTCATAATTAATAATGTAGATATTCTCGACTCTATATACATTTTAATATAATGGTTATAGATCGATATTATCAGATAGTGTAAGAGATATTCAACAATTTATGGAATAGTAATAAAAGTTAATTTGAATATAAGTATACTTACGTAGGTACTTTAAATACATCTTATACATACCTTTCTAGATACAATTTAGGTATTAGATACAGACTCGAACAAATTAAAAAAATATTAAATGAACCAATTAACTATATTTTAATTACATTTTTCAAATAATAATAGAATAGTTTTTCGCATTTCCCTATCGTTTCTAGTTAGTGAGGGTAGGAGTAGATGATAAATACATCAATTGCCTGTAATGTCTCAAGTGTTTTGTTTGGTGAAATTGTATTCTGCCCAAAATATAAGTAATTATCCCCAATTTTTTATCCAATTATACCCAATTTTGAAAACGCTGGCGTAATACTAAATTTCATTAATATAAAAATTGTTACTTTTGAAAATCAACTTTAAAGTCAAATTTTTTTTAGATTGAGTTTGACTTCAAAAAATACAATTTCTTTGGTCAGGTTATAGGTAATGGATAACTAATTGACTGACACATTAGAACTTAACTAAATGTATCTACCCAATCAAGGCGCTTTTCAAACCGATTTTTATGTTACTTAATATTTTAGCTAAAACTAGATAATCAATCAATTTTATTCTCTTGTTTTCATTTATTATTATTTATATTGTCATTGATTTTGATTATTTTTAATCAAATTATAGTTTTCCTAAAATACTTACATAGTATAATAGATAAAATTGTTTTCTTATTATTAAAATAATAGGTTTTAAGGTCAAGCAGATAACGGTTATACTAACTAAAATTATCATATCACAGACAAACTTATTGTCTTTGCTCTAGAATTATAGATCCACATGGTTTCAAACTATTAATATCTCTTAATTAACAACTAGTACTGGTATCATATCATTCTGTCATTAAAAACATATTAAATATCTATAATACAATTGCCGTCTGTATGATATAAAAGCAATTTATAATTTTACCTAATTAATAAAATTATAATTTAAAGTTGACAACTACAATTTTTATATTAATTGTAGTTGTTACCAGTTTTCTGTTCAAGAACTGTCACATATGTTATTTTTGAGATTTATCTTTGCTCTTGACACAATTCATCTTCATGTTTAATTAATCTTTACCATTTAGACGTTTAAGCCGGAAAAGTAACAAATAACATTCACACTTACAAATTTTAATATTAGTACATATTGAGAAAGTATAGATTGAGAATTGAAGGGTATTTAGTATTTACCACCATTAGAGAACTAATAAAAACAAAAACATCAGATACATTTGTCTAAATACCTGTATAATTACTTTAATACCATATATACCTAAGACCATTTTACATGTATGTTCTATATTATATAAATACTTCAAGTTTAATAAAAACTTGATAATAACGCGAGTTGAAAACCAGTTTTAACTAATGCGAAAACAAAAAAAACATTGCCTGTTCAAATATAGATTCTATTTATACACACAGTGATAATTATTTCCTTTAACTGATTTGGCATATCGTCCTTACATTCACATCTTTGATTGTATCTCAGTGTTATTCCTATTCTTGTTAAGTACAGATGATATAATATTTAGTGTTACGATAATAAAAACGTTGAGTACCTACTATTGTCGTTAAACCAATTAACTTACCCTATACATCAAATAGTTTTTATATCATACATCAAATTCAAAATGCAAGACGCATGTTTCTTGCTCGTTCTTCTTGTTGTGAGCCTGCATTTCAAATGGTAGAATAAAATAAATAATTTCAAAAGTGCTTATATTAAGGTTATTTGAATAAAGATTATTTCTATTTTCATTTCATCTAGAGTATACCTGCTATCTACATCAGTACAATCCAATCCACAATTTTTATACGGTTCTTTTGAAGCAATATCAAAACTGAATTAAATCAATCTATAACAATTCAATTTGTTCTTTTATTTAACACGAAATATTAGCTCTTTACTAGTTGTATAATTCAAGAATATACAAAGGTACAAAACGCCATAATCCCATATCATCGATCGTAATTACATTCCAGAGTACATACGCAGCTTCTTCATAAAACTTAGAGATTCGATAACATTGACTTCCATTCTCACACATCTCTCTTCTTTTATTCACTACTGTATATTATAAGCGATTTTGTGATCTTATTTAATTTGACGCAGTCATATATACATAAATTAAGATAAGTGAATCACTTGATCTTACGTTTTGTATATTATTACTGTCTATGATCCTCGACTTCACCCGGATGAAATTTAGCTTTTCTTATATGATAATAAAGTAATTTTCTAAAATAAATGAAGGTAATATACTCCATGTTACTCCTTATAATATTAGCTATCTGGGAGCGAAGTTGGTTGTTTGGAAGTCCTGTCAAAATCGATCCAATCGTTTCACACATTAGCAAGAACAATATACTTTCATATGTATTTAGTCAAAAGAACAATCTACTATTTGTTCCCGTGATCTCGTTGAATCTTGTGAGTTATTTATTTTTATAGATTGAGTTTCCAATATTTCGGCACTGTTACAACCTGATACCGCTAGGATCACTGGTACCGGTGATCCTAGCGGATCAGTTTATTGAAAAGCTGCGGGTAGATAGTAAATAAATAGAATTACGTGAAGACATGTTCGTCAACGTTACAAGTAATTTCGTCATTCACAGTCATTCGTTACAAGTCTTGGCTTATTGCTACTATTAAAACTCGCTCGATTATCTAAGCAAACAATACTCACTTTCTGATCACGAATTTTGTTTTTGTTTAATCTCTGTAACAATATATAAAAGTAGTAATATCCCGTTCCTTTCTTAGTTTTATATATAAATAATGACCGCATGAAAATTAACGACTTAATACCATTTATTATGTTTTCTTATTTTATTTTAATATCATGTTATTAAATTATTTTATTTTGATATTCCTTCAGTAATCGGAATCATTGCCACTGCAATAGCAGAGGACAGCGATGTGGCAATCGAAAAGGTCCTCAAAGATGGAAACGATCTCTTCACCTCCAACTTGTTTCCTGTAAGTAAATAAAAACTAACTGACTATATTTATATTTAATTTATAAATGCTCGAGACTTATTTTTTCTCAGTTTATTTCAAGAAGTATAAAACATAAGTACACCTATGACCTTCGATAATACCCAAAAAAGTAAAGCAAAAAGCAACTTCTGTGAAATAAATGCCCACTATTCAATGCTTTAAGTATTGAATATATGTACAATACATTTAAATTTCCATTAAACAATTACCAATAAAATAGTTTACAAACAACTATGTATTAATAAACATTATATTTATAGAAATTTGGTTAAAATAGTTATTAATAGCTTAATCGTACGGAATCTTTACAATATATTAACATTGCCGTCAAAGTACGATAATATTTATATAATTATTATTGGGATAAATAAATTGAAAGTAAATAGTTAACATAGGCAATATGAATTATAAATCATAGTTCTCACGTATGAGATTGCGAATGAATAACTCTACATGTAATTAGTAATTATAAATACACAGACGAGTGCATTTCCTTTACGAATTATGCTACTATCAAAATTATAAATCGTTGAATTTAGAGATAGTAATAGGATAATTTACTAACGTTAAACACTTGCAAAGTACTGTGCTATAGAATCCATCATAAATGTTATTTTATGTATTGACGACCTCGGTAGTCTAGCGGTTTAGCACACCGCTTTACTTCTGATGGTCGCGGGTTTGATTCCTAGCACGGTGCAAACATTTGTATTCATGACTATGATTATTCGCATCGGTCTGTATGTTTTCTATATATATCTGTAAGTATTTATAAAAAAAATATCTAAGTATTTATATAATTTGTCTAGTACCTACAGCACAAGCTCATTACCGTGGTACTGTGTTAATTATCCAGGGTTATTTATTTATTTAGGTATATGTGTGCCAATTCCATATGAAAATATTGCCGTATTAGACTAGTACGTAGACTTTGTACAAGTCCGTCAGAATACTTCTGTAATGTTTCTGTTTAAAGGGAGATATTTAGCAATAAAAGTGAAAAATATACTAGTAGTTACATGTTACATGATGACGTTATGTCCACAGAGATGTTCATGTCTATTGCCTATAGAGTTACTTCCCATCTATGTTTCCTATTCCAATGAAGTCAAAAAAATATATTCCAAATACTAAAATACTACTATCTACTAAAATATAAATGCAAAGAGTTTCTTTGCATATTGTATTGTCTAATATTTCATTTTTTATTTTACAGGAGGTCGTCAAACAGCATCCAGACAAGAGCGTCATTCTGTCCGCCTTCTCAGTATTGACACCACTTGGACAGTTGAGTTTGGCATCAGTTGGTGCCTCTCATGATGAAATCCTCAAAGCCATCGGATTCCCCAATGATAATGTTGTAAGTAAAGTAGTAGATACTACAAAACAATTTACAAAGATTATAAAATAGAGTCAAAGTGGACCACTACTCAGTAAAATGCTGAAAACATAGTTTCCAGCGTTGATTTTCAGTTTTATTAATTAATATTAATATTAGGTTTATATTATGTTATAATATTAGGTTAATAATTATTATTAATCTAATATTATAATATAATATGTATATTATTCACATTATAGTGGAATATTAGTTAATACATGTAACATTTTGTTTTATGTAGGTCTCTCTAAAAAGATGTTTCTTTATCCCTTTCCAGACAAAAGAGGTCTTCTCGCATCTAAACACCAAGCTTCGCTCGGTAAAGGGAATAGAGTTACGAATGGCGAATAAAGTTTACATCCCCACATCATACGAACTAAATGACAAATATGCCGTTGTGGCGAAAGACGTGTTCAACTCTGAAGTCCAAAACATCGACTTCAGCAAGAGCAAGGAGAGCGCTGACACAATAAATGCCTGGGTATGAATACATATATATACTTAAATAAATATACTTTGACAACTGTTATCTCACATGGAGTAGTTGGAGTATTACGAAGGCGAACCTGGCATCATCTCCCCGATTAAATTGTTTTGTTTCTCCAGAGATAGATACTAAATTAGATGCTCGAAGATTTTTGTTATCAGACAAATTCGAACTCATTCGTGCCATGACATCACTATTACAATACTTGTTAGACCTGGAAATAAAAAAATATTAGAGTCACTTCTACCTATATGTTTAACTAAATATAGATATACAGAGTAAATAAACAGTAAGGCAAATTAGTAGACAGTTTACCATGACGCAAGGTTTTTATAAAAATAAGGATATACTTTAAGAACTTACTAATGTTTATGATTTAGGTGGAAAGCCAAACTAACAACCGTATCAAGGAGTTGGTTTCTCCTGATTCCTTGACTACAGACACGCGTGCAGTGCTCGTCAACGCTATCTATTTCAAAGTAAGTATTTGTTGCATACTGTTTACAATCTCCTCGTAAACATTTTTTGTAAGAATAATTATTTATCTGTTAATGCATCTATTTTATACACAAATACAAATTATAAAACGGATCCTATATAGGAACTACATATATAAGTAATTCATATTGTAAAAGACTTTCATATTAAATTCTCGCAAAATTAAAAACACAACTTAGATACAAAATCCAAAGATTAGTTGAATTCCTCTATTCAACGTGTCAGTCTAATCTTTAGTAAAAATTATCCAAGTATTGTAATCAATTGCTATTGTAAATCACAACATTTTGAGTTCTTTAAATAAAATCCGAGGTATTGTTGACAAATGCACATATATTTATGACGACAATTAAAAGTACTTATGTAATTTATAGGGAAGTTGGAAAGAAAAGTTCAACAAAGATATAACCAGAGATCGAGATTTCCACGTAACTAAAGAGAAAACTATAAAGGTCCCCACAATGTACAAACAAGCTAGCTTTTTGTATGGTGAGAGCGAAGAACTGGATGCTAAGGTAAAATAGATTAGTAATATGCCACAAAATCTTAAATAAATTACTATTACAAAACAGTAATAATAATAATGAAGTATATATAATATTATTTTTGTTTAGATTTGTCGTCTATTCCATAATTACATTAAAACTTTATTAATTGTAGGCAATGCAATCATCGCTATTATTAATGAAAGTATTTCTAAAACACTTAATAATAATACGAAACAGTAAGTCATTTAGCGATACTTAAAATATTCATATGTTTCAGCTTTTAGAATTACCTTACGAAGGAGACGAAGCATCTTTCTTGATTGTATTGCCCAATAAAATTGACGGCCTTGCAGCTCTTGAAGAAAAACTAAAGGATCCTTCACTTTTAGAAAAGGCTATTAAAAACTTGCAACAACAAGAAGTTGATCTTTTTTTGCCTAAATTCAAAATAGAAACTAAGACCGATTTAAAACAAGCTCTTCAAAATGTAAGTCAGGTTGCTTTATATCTAAAAAAATATTAAGTGCTAAATTAAACTTACACTTCTTTATGCCATGGTCGAGTTGAGTAGTAATGCTCACTAAAATGACAAGGCGGCGAGATGGGCCGGCTCACTAAAATATGTCGAGCGCAGTGACACTTGACTGATCTACACTTATCACTATGACTGATTTAATTTTATTTACTTACTTAACCAGTTGATTGTTCATTTAATATTTTGAAACCACCAACTGCACTAATTCATTTCAACTTTAAAATGTAAAGTTACAACATTTATTCAAAAGTTCCTAAAAAAAAGTTTACGCAAGTTCCTTGTTCATTATTCTAGTAATGAGATATTTTTCCAAATGCGGGGTAGAAAAAAAAAATATGACTATTTCAAAGGGCTTAAATTCAATTATTTGAATAATGATTTTTCTATTCTATTATACTTTATTACTAATTCATTATTATTTTTATCATTTCATTTTTATGTTGTCATAATATTTGTATAACTTCTTATGTCATCTTTTTTTAGATTGATATCAAAAAAATTTTCGATAGTGCTGATGCGCATTTAGACAACTTACTAAAAGATGCTAAAGATTTATATGTAAGTGAAGCAATCCAAAAAGCTTTCATTGAAGTGAACGAAGAGGGCGCTGAAGCAGCTGCTGCCAATGGTAAGTAACAACAAATATTTGAATTTTGGTTCTTATGAAATATATTTGTTAAATTTATGTTTAATTTAAGTGGTTAATGCCATAAATAAGTAATTAGATATCATAGATTTCACGTCCAATGTTAAGTAAGCCTTTGTGCTATGACTATTATCACTTCCCTTTAAGTAAACAGCGAGGTTGTCATTATTGGTATAAAAATATATTACGAAATGAAATCAACTGTAAATCCAAGGTTGAATTATTTTATCAATGTGGTGTATTCAGATGTCAAAAGGTTATCTTCTATATATAAACAATGTTGTTAATAATTAAAACAAATATTGTAGAGTTAGTCATTTTAGTATAAAATTCATCGTACCTTTAACTAAGAGACAAAATATTTAGCTGAGTACTATCTGCTAATTTGATCCAAAATATCTTTGTGACATCTTTTGAACTCTAAATTTCTTATATCAAATTTTTTTGCGGATTACTCTAATGCTGATGGCACTAGCTTGCCTTTACAGCTTCAGCGGCGAGTACAGATAGCACACCAAATTCGCGAAAGGACTTATGGAGCGGCTGACGGCCAACTACCGCCTGACAGATACAACTTTAGACACCGCCAGGGGTTTAAACCTTGGCTCAGGCCGTCGTAATTTCGGTCCCTGTATGAATTGGAATGGGGTCGATCAAAGGGGTCCCATATCTCATTCGAATTGCCTTAGTCTCATTATTATTCAATCATAGCACTATTACTTGCCACTAAGTCCAGTTATTGAAAGTTTAGTTAGTAAATCGCCATCCTAGCAGAAAAGCTAGAATGGCGTAGCTTAGTGATTTACTATCCTAAATTATATACAAGAGGAACCATATTTAAATCTAACCGAGACCAAAAAAACGTTGTTTGTCAATTCATATTTTTGACTGACCGGTGATTTTAAACAAAATAATATTCCAAAAGACGGCAGTAGGCTCGACCAGTGCCGCATTGTTCAAAATATACTGAGTGAAATGTGAGCATATCAAGTGTTGCGTTTACAACAACATCAACAGGTGATAATACCTCTAACTGTCCCATCTATGTTAACATCGTAACGGTATCTTATTCCTCAAGACGGTACCTTCTATAAACAAGCAAATATCAGAACTTATCTTTTCTGTTTCTTTCTTTATTTTCAATTTTTTATATATATGTGTATATATATATATATATACATGATTCATATTTATATCCATTATGTTATTGCCTTCCATTGTCGATATATTTACTTCTTCTACATACTGTTTTAAACTTTGTACAATTGTACAGATTATATAAGTGATACTATTAGTAGAGAGCTCCCCATATTTAGAAGATTTTGTTACATTTGTTTCAAAGATCCCAGTCACGTATCGACCCGTAGTAAAAAACTCGTTTGTAATAATAATGTGTACAAATCTTCTAAATACTTCATGTTGCTTATTATTTTCATTTTGTTATTGACAAATTATTATTTCTGAAATATTTGTAATATTTCAAGTACTAGAATCTTTTCAGTAAACATTTTATTTTACCTATTATAATACTGATAAACAATATCTTATTAAACATTTCAGAGTTTACAATATCGCTCACCAGTCTACCATTTACCTACAGTTTCGAAGTTGAGAGACCATTTTATTTTGTGATTAAATACAATAAGAGTGTTCTATTCAACGGAATTGTTGTAGAACCTGCTGACGAATAAAAGTAAAAATTAATTACTGAACTCATTTGTAACCATTAGCATGTTGTGACACACACATTCATATTGCTTATACAATATATATATATATGTGTATGTATTTGCACCTTTTATCTTTATTTTATTTTGATTTATATTTGCTTTTTTGAATTTCAGCATTTTATGGATTTGGTTCTAGTCTAAAGATAAATCCTGAATTCGTAGCTGACAGACCTTTTTATTTCGAATTAAGATACCAAAGTAACTCTCTCTTTAATGGTATAATTGTGGAACCAACCACTAAATAAATGTTAAGGTATCAAACAAATGACAACTTATCTATATTATCTGTAATAATTGCCTGCCTATATGTTTACTTCGACAATATTAACAATATCGTCCAGAACTCAAACTAACAATGTGAATCAGATTATTTTATGTAAATTATGAATATTTGTTCGGGTTATATATGAACAACCAATAATATCTGTAGAAATGTTTTAGGAATTCAAATTTGAACTCCTAAAACATTTCTACAGATCTCATTAAACTCTTTAATTAAAAAACACTACATTGTATCGAAATGTTATATTATTATATGCCTCAATACATTACTTTATTTATATTATATTGAAATAATCGTTTTTTACTTCATGCATGTCGAGTAAAAAACGGTTTAACGTATTTATAATATAGTAATACACCAAAACATTTTTGACAATCTGTCTGTCTGTAGTTCCGGCGAATCTCCGAAATGGCTGATCCGATTTTGACGGGACTTTCATTGATAGCTGATGTAGTAACTTAATCTTATTTATTTTTGAAAAATTATGTTAAATTCCATGCGGACGTAATCGCGAGTACAGCTATTACTTACCTCTATGCATCGAATTGTTTAATCCAGCGTAAATTTACAACTATTAAATCATCCATTTAAACACAATGTTTCCAACAACAATCCAACAATCCATTTAACTTGTAATGGTTAGTTCGATGGTATTATAATGATGCTTTTTTATTCATTATGTTACTTACATAATTTTAATTTTAATTTTTAAATATTTTGTTTTTTGACTAGGTACCAATTTTTCTTCCAAGAAGTTATTACTTCTATTTTGCTCTATTCATAGGTTATAGGGTAACCAGACTACATGTTTAATTACTGTTCTATATATGACATGTATCTAAATATAACATTTATATTAAAGTCCTAAACATATAAATCTGTAATTTATGGTCATAAAAAGACATTATCTGTTACTTAATCCTCATTTTCAAGTTTAAATAAGGATACAGTACCTTAGAAACAATGAAAACTCGTAAATTACCTCAAACGTTATGCTATGTAAAAACGAAAAAAATGGTGTATGCATTTAAATAGTAAAATATAGTGTATAAATATTTAGGCTTAACATTTGTACAACTCAATCTTATATGTTTTAGATGTGTCAGATTTATTAACTAGAATATTCAGAAAGTGTTTTTCAAGTAGTGGGTTAGGTAATTTTATCCAGACCGATTTATGTTTTTTTTAATATTTACAGAATTTGTGCTCGCAGATCGTGCTCAGTTTTGGATTACTCAATTTCAAGTAGACAGACCATTTTACTTTGAACTTAGACAAGAAAATAATCCTCTTTTTAATGGTGTATTTGTGGAACTCACCACAGAGTAAATGTAAATAAATACTTATACACCTTATATATTGGCTAAAAATAAGTAGCTGTAATTAAATAACATATTTTACAACTACGTATGTAACATTTAATGATAACTGTTTCAACATGTAACCTATCCCATAAAATTTCCTATCAAATAAGCTGGAATCTATTGTAGTACTACCATAAGAAGAATTAAAATCCGGATATATATAATTTCTTTATACAAAATCAGGCATATAAACAAGTTATCCTTAGTCAGCTCCTAGGCTTACCAAATATCGTACTGTAAGAATCGCATGTTTTTTCTTTCAGGATTTTTAATAACGGTAACAAGTGCTATATTAGTGCCAATAGTCACAGTGGATAGACCCTTCTACTTCGAACTTAAACACAAAGGAATACCTCTGTTTAACGGAGTATTTGTACAACCACCCCTTGCATAAATGTAAATGTTTGATGTTAATTACGATGCTTATCTCATGGTGCTTAGCTTTTGTAATATATATAAGACATATAATGTCATTCATTAGTAGACACATTATTAATATAATTAGCCTTTTTTTAACATTACGCATTGGTAGGTATATTCATGTAGAATTCCCAAAGTTTAGTCATTTGATCTTATTAGGGAATTAACTATTCAAGACAAATTTCTTTGGATTAGTTTAGATATCAAATCGTATGGTTACTTTTTAGGGTATAAGTAAAATATTCCACCAAGAATCTGAGTTACTCTCACATTTTTTTTTTCAGAATTTATTATTGCTATAGAAAGTGCATATATTGTTCCTACTTTCTCTGTGGACAAACCTTTCTACTTTGAACTTAAATACAAGGAAGTACCTCTGTTTAATGGAGTGTTCGTACAACCGGTTATATAAATGTATAAATATGTTTGAGAAAAAAGAATAGGTACTAATGAAACAATAATATTATTGCATATTTGTAGATTTGCTTGATATTTACATAGTAATTTGAAATTGGATACTTCTGTGCCTTACTGGTGTGCCTTATTTTAATCCATAGTACGTAGGTACTATTACTAGCTTACAACTAACCAAAAAATACATTTAAATTATGCTTACGGCAAGTTGCTATTGGAATTTATAAGGAAAAAAATAGTAATAGTATGTGTAATGAAACATGTAATAGTAGTTACTAATTAAAATATTTTAAATTATTTTACTACAAATATCCAAAGTTATAAAAATAATGCTTTACATTAGTATTACTCATACCAATGTGAAGCATTATTTTTATTTTTATAATGTGTAGATATGGGGAAATAATTTGAATTATTTAAAAATATTAATAATTTACAATATATAGCAGCATCTATTTATTCTTTGTAAGCTTCGTTAAGAACGTGCGTAATTAAACGAACGACTTAATAAAAAAATACAAGCTAATGTAAAACATAGCTATCTATTAATTATTTATTGCATTCGTTAACTGTCAGTGTAAACAAAAAATTAAAGTCACCAAATAAAACAATTGTAGGAGCGTATAATAATGTTAGAAGAAGGCAAGTGCGCTATAATAATATTTCTTTACCATGTCCTTCACTATCAATTCGATAGGCGTCCGTCCTGCGTGTACAGTTGAACAGACCCCCGATTATTAGGAGAATACCGTGTTATTTTTTAAATAGAAATATAAATAATCTTTTTTCAAATAAACTCAATATAAACACTTTTGAATAGTCAAGTTTTTTTATTCTACCTCTTCTTCTCGTTCTGAATTTCAATAAGTTTATTATAATATTCATTGTCGGTTACTCTAAGGCTTTTTGAGGAATAAACAGTTGTTGTTTGTTCCACGATATATCACGTAAGAATGTGGTACCAGAGCACGCTAAATATTAGTTCCCCGCATTTCGCTACGGACGTCTACACACGACAATAAAATTAGGGCTAATAGGAGAGAACCTTGGATCTCTTCTTAAAATGCCGCGTGAGTAGCGATATCAGGGATGATTGCTCATAGTACATCCATCGAGTCTATTTTAACATCCACTACAATTGCTCCAATTTTAGCGTAATTTGTAGACAAAAATGTATGTGTATTTAAATATTTCAAGATTTGTTGTATTCAACAATTCAAAATTCTTTATCTAGCGTTAAAATTCCAAGAATAAAAATTGATAGACCATTCACTTCAAACTGCGACACGACAAATTTAACGGACTCCTTGTGGAACCCGTATTAAGTAAAATGTACTCCAATAATCATTAACTATGTTTATGATTTGTAGCTCATTCAGCAACATATATCATCTTTGTATAATATTATTGTTAATTTATGTTACACATCCATAGTGAATTTCATTATATTGTTATACATTGTCTTTATTCAAGGTTATGATTACAATAATTTAAATAACAAATTATCTAACAATCATATATTTATATGATTGTTTGATTCACTTGTTGTGATGTGAATCAAACAATCATAACTATACTTAGTATTATTATTACAGTTACATTTACATGTACAGTACTTCTTCTTACATATACTGTTACATTGGTGATCAAAAACTCGAAACTGTTGAAATACTGCATCTAGAGATATATGTAACGAGAATTGTTGCTGCTTTACTGTTATAATAAAAAACTATTTTAATTTGGCTACTATAAAACTAAAAACCATTCACAGAGTTAGCCATCAGTTATGCTTTAATTATTTTTCAAAAAATTGTCTTCGACGCCGATCATCCATTTGTTTTCTTCTTGATAAACGGACAAACCACCATTTTCAACGGAGTTTACTATTCTTAGGTAGCAATTATGTAATATTTTAATTGATTATTATAAATTAGTATCAATTTTTATTTAGTTTTTCTTAAGTATAACATGCTTATTATATCTAATGAAAAGACAAGTATTGTACCGAATTATAAAAATTGGGATACGTATAATTATTCATTTTTATACTACAAGTATTTTACTAATACATGTAATATTTAAAACTGCCTGTTTTCTTGCATTTTTTCATCCGCTTACGTCCTCTAAATCATGACCCAGATTTTGATACGGTTTTTACTATAATTTCGAGAATTTCTTCCGGAATGAGATTTACAAGCAAAAGACTGCCATCAAATACTGTACAAGTGCGACGCCGGACTTAGTAACTCACATAACGTATATCAAATAACACGTATGTAAAATGACGACCTCGGTGGTCTAGCAGTCTAGCACACCGCATTACGTCCGATGGTCGCGGGTTCGATTCCTCGCACGGCACATACTTTTTTATTCATGAGTATGATTGTTTGTATCGGTCTGGGTGTTTTCTATGTATATTATGTATGTATTTACGATAAATATATCTATGTATTTGTATCAGTTATCTAGGACCCATATAACAAGCTTTAGGTAGCTTAACTTGGGTCTAGATGGCGTTGTGTAAATTGTTCTGAGATATAATAATAATATTATTAAAATATATTGAATTTTCTAGCTTCTACAGTTAAATTTGCATTCTTTCTTCTGTAGATAATCTATTACCTTTTCTCTGACTAATAAAACATTTTTTTTTTCAAACATTTAGGTAGAATCTTTCTAGTTACTGATTATAAATGATCCTAGTCTAATTAAATACCCATATGAAAAGTAGTTAGGAATTCAATTTTTTGTATGTTTAAAGATATGTCAGAATCATTAAATAGAATATTGTGAAAGTGTTTTGTATTCAAATTATTATTTATTTTTCAAGTAGATGCTTAGGTAATTTTACCCATATTTATGATATTTTTAATATTTACAGAATTAATGTTCGAAGATCGTGCTCAGTTTTGGAATACTCAATTTCAAGTAGACAGACCATTTTATTTTGAACTTTCTCACAAAAAGAATCCTCTTTTTAATGGTGTATTTGTGGAACTCACGATAGAGTAAATGTAAATACTTATGCACATTACATGTATATTGGCTAAAAATAATTAGCTGTAATTAAAATACATATTTTACAACCACATTTGTAACATTTAACGGAAACTTTTTCAACATGTAACCAATTCCATAAAATTTCCTTTCAAGTAACCAAGAATCTACTGTAGTATTACCAAAACAATAATTAAAAATCCGAATATTTATAATTTATTATTTTAAAAATCAGGCGTATAAACAAGATATTCTTTGTTAGCTCCTAGGCTTACCAAATATCATTTAAGAAATTATATTTTTTTTCAGAATTTTTAATAACGGCAATACGAGTAAGTGCTATATTAATGCCAATCACAGTCACAGTGGACAGACCTTTCTACTTCGAACTTAAACACAAAGGAATACCTTTGTTTAACGGAGTATTTGTACAACCACCCCTAGCATAAATGTAAATGTTTGATGTTAATTGCGATGCTTATCTCATAGTGCTTAGCTTTTGTAATATATATAAAACATAAAATGTCATTTATTAGTAGACACATTTTTAATATAATTAGCCTTTTTTAACTATATGCATTGGTATATTCATGTAGAATTCCCAAAGTTTAGTCAACTCATCACATTAGGGAATTAACTGTTAGAGAAACTTGTCATTCTTTGTTTCATTTTAGATAAAGAAATGGTTATTTTTTAGTATATAAGTATGAATATTCCACCAAGAATTTAAGTTACGCTCACATATTGATTTTTCAGAATTTGCTATTGTTATAAAAAGTGCATATATTGTTCCTACTTTCTCTGTGGATAAACCTTTCTACTTTGAACTTAAAAACAAGGATGTACCTCTGTTTAATGGAGTGTACGTACAACCGGTTATATAAATGTATATGTTTGAGAAAAAAAATAGGTACTAATAATATAAACAGTATTATTGTGTGTAGATTTGCTTGATATACATAAAAATACATAAAAATAAAAAATTGGATACTTCTGTGCCATACTCGTGTGTCTTATTAACCCATAGTACATATGCTATTACTAGCTTACAACTAACAAAAAATAGCAATTCGACCTCGCTTACGGCAAGTTGCCATTGGAATTTATAAAGGAAAAAAATAGTAATAGTATGTATAATGAAACGTGTAATAGTAGGTACTAATTAAAGTATTTTTTTTATTATTTTACTGCATATATCCAAAGTTATAAAAATAATGTTTTACATTAAAAAGGAGTAAATGTGTAGATATGGGGAGATAATTTGAATTATTTATAAATATTAATAATTTACAATATTTAGCAGTATCTATTTATTCTGTGTAAGCTTCATTAAGAACGTGCGTAATTAAAGAAACGGCTTTATAAAAAAATTACAAACTAATACAAAAAAAACCTGCCGATCTATAAATTATTTATTGCATTCGTTAACTGTCTATGTAAATAAAAAATTAAAGCCGCCAAGTAAAACAATTGTAGGGGCGTATAATAATGGTAGAAGAAAACGAGAGCACTAAAATAATATTTCTTCATTCATGTGCTTCACTATCAATTTGATAGGCTCCTGTCCTTCCGTCCTTATTTTTATTCTGAATTCAATAAATTTATTATAATATTCTTTGTCGGCTACTCTAAGGCTATTTGAGGAATGGACAATTTGTTCCACGATTATAACGTAATCACGTAGGAATGTGGTACCAGAGCACCCTAAATATCAGTTCCCCGCATGTTCGCTACGGACGTCTACACACGACTATAAAATTAGGGCTAATAGGAGAGAACCTTGGATCGCTTCTTAAATTGCCGCGTGAGTAGCGGTATCTGGGATGATTGCTCATAGTACATCCATCGAGTCTATTTTGACACCCACTACAATTGCTCCAATATCGTCATTTAATTTTAGCGTAATTTGTAGGCTTTTAAAAACGATTTCAAAAAATACATGTGTATTGAAACATTTCAAGATTTGTATACAACGCTTTATCTGGCGTTGAAATTCCAAGAATGAAAATTGATAGACCATTCTACTTTAAAT